CTGGGGCGACATCGTTAAATCGTCATTATACTGTTCCACAAAGACTGGAGCGCCATCAGTAAGTCGTCATCATACTGCTCCACATAGACTGGGGCGCCATCGTTAAATCGTCATTATACTGCACCACATAAACTGGGGCGCCATCGTTAAATCGTCATTATACTGCACCACATAAACTGGGGCGCCATCGTTTAATCGTCATTATACTGCACCACATAAACTGGGGCGTCATCGTTAAATCGTCATTATACTGCTCCACATAGACTAGGGCGCCATCAGTAAGTCGTTATCATACTGCTCAACAAAGACTGGGGCGCCATCGGTAAGTCGTCATCATGCTGCTCCACATAGACTGGGGCGCCATCGTTAAGTCGTCATTATACTGCACCACATAAACTGGGGCGCCATCGTTAAAGCGTCATTATACTGCACCACATAAACTGGGGCGTCATCGTTGAATCGTCATTATACTGCTCCACATAAACTGGGGCGCCATCGTTTAGTCGTCATTATACTGCACCACATAAACTGGGGCGTCATCGTTGAATCGTCATTATACTGCTCCACATAGACTGGGGCGCCATCGGTTAGTCATCATCATACTGCTCCACATTGACTGCGGCGCCATCAGTAAGTCGTCATCATCCTGCTCCACATAGACTGGGGCGCCATCGGTAAGTCGTCATCATACTGCTCCACAAAGACTGGGGCGTCATCGGTAAGTCGTCGTCATGCTGCTCCACATAGACTGGGGCGACATCAGTAAGTCGTCATCATGCTGCTCCACATAGACTGGGCCTCCATCGGTTAGTCATCATCATACTGCGTTGAATTGGAATGTGTGTCTGAAACATTTTATATGATACAAGTTAGATTGATATGTATCTGATAAATTAAGATAACAGTTATCATTCAGGAAGTTAAGCTGATCTAGTCGGGAATACGTGTATGACTTTATCGTGTCATTTCATTTATAAAATATAGATAATATTTTGAAATAATGCAAACACGCAGATACAGTTATGTATTAACGTAAATATAGGCGTAGTCACAGTTGTCTATACATGGCAAATTTCAAATTAATTTCTATATCGATAAAGTATGTAAAATATGACTGCCAAGTGCTTCCCCAAAGAACTTTATCACCCGTCCTCTCGTGTAAGTTTTCGAGTAGGGGAACACACACACACGTTTTGCTTTACCCTCACTGGTTATTACTTCCTGTTTTAATGCAGATACAGAAAGTGAATGACACGGGGTCCCGTATTGGCGACTGACACTGAGTTAGTTTTCACGATTGACAAGTGTACCCGTATTCACGATTAACAAGGGATCCCGTATTCACGATTGACAGGTGGACCCGTTTTCACGATTGACACGGGGTCTGTATTCATGATTGACAAGTGGACCCTTATTCACGATTGACACGGGCTCCATCTTCACGATTAACACGGTGTCCCGTATTCACGATTAACACGGGGTCTGTATTCACGATTGACGCAGGGTCCGTATTATCTATTGACACAGGATCCTCTATTCACGATTGAAGCAGAGTCCGTATTCACTATTGACACATGGTCCGTATTCACGATTGACACGGGGGCTTAAACCAACTTGCTTTTAACTTGCATCAATCATGTGACACAGTCAAAAGTCAATTGTTAACATTTATAAACTTTTCATTTATTTTACAACAAGCATGAAACAAGTTTTCGAACTTATATGAATAAGTCTTGTTTACCATGATCTAAATTCTTCCAAATTACTGTTAAAAATGTTATTTGCATTAATTTATCACGGGAGCAAGTCTGTAAAGACACAGATCGATGATTTCACGTTTTTCTGTTTTCTGGGAGTTACACCTTTTATTTCAATATATAATATGTATTTATGTTCCGACAATAAGTGTTCGTAAGTGGTAGTGTCTGGCATTATCGTACTTCAGTGTGATCAAGTATGTAAATTCAACCAAGCGCTCTATGACGTAGACTTGAAACGTAGGTTTGTTCCCAGTCCTCATGCATCGGATATGTTCTGTTTAATGGTCTTGTTTTAAAAATACACTTTCCACAATGTATGACTGTCACAGTTGACCTAGATTAGACATTGTGCTTAAACCCACAGGTCTGCTCAACATTCACCCGCTTGGATATAAGATTCACCGTTCTGTGACACTACTCATATGTGACGGCGGTAAACATCACACGATAAAGATGGCAATATGCTTAGCATCAGAGTAAAATTTACAGGATTTGAACTTTGAAAAAGAGTGGGGAAAATAGCATAACGTATTCTTATGACATCAATTGACATTTCCAAAACAAGGCATTTTTCCTTGGTAAGGCGTGTCTCCCGTGGTATGTGGGGATGTAACTTTCCCGTTGTATGTGGGGTAATACTTTCCCGTGGTAAGTGATGATATAGGTTTCCCGTAGTATGTGGGGATGTAACTTTCCCGTGGTATGTGGGGATGTAACTTTCCCGTGGTATGTGGGGATATTACTTTCACGTGGTTCGTTAGGATATTACCTTCCCGTGGTATGTCGGGATATCACTTTCCCGTGGCATGTGAAATGTAAATTTCCCATTGTATATGGGGTGTTACTTCCATGCGGTATGTTGGGAAGTAACTTTCCCGTTGTGTGTATTTATGTAACTTCCCAGAGGTATGTGGGGATTAACTTTCCCGTGGTATGTAGGGATATTACTTTCACGTGGTTCGTTGGGATATTACCTTCCCGTGGTATGTCGGGATATCACTTTCCCGTGGAATGTGGGCTAAAATTTCTTGTTGTATATGGGGTGTTACTTTCCTGCGGTATGTTGGGAAGTAACTTTCCCGTTGTATGTATTTATGTAACTTCCCTGTGGTATATGGGGATTAACTTTCCCGTGGTATGTGGGATGTAACTTTCCCGTGGTATGTGGGGATGTTACGTTCCTGTGGTATGTTGGGATGTAACTTTCCCGTTGTATGTATTTATGTAACTTCCTTGAGGTATATGGGGATATTTCTTTCCCGTGGTATGTGGGGATGTTACTTTCCCCTGGTATGTGGGATGTTACGTTCCTGTGGTATGTTGGGATGTAACTTTCCCGTTGTATGCATTGATGTAAATTCCCTGTTGTATATGGGGATATTTCTTTCCCGTGAGGGGTTAAAACCTTTCGATGGTATTTGGGGTTATTGCTGTCCCATGAGATATGGGATATTACTTTCGCGTGGTATGTGGGTATGTCACTTTCCCTTGGCTTATGGGGATATTCCCGTGGTATGTGGAGATGTAACTTTTCCGTGGTATTTGGGATGTAACTTTCCCGTGGTATGTGGGATGTAAATTTCCCGTGGTATGTGGGGGATGTAACTTTCCCGTGCTATGTGGGATGTCACTTTCCCGTGCTATGTGGGATGTCACTTTCCCGTGGTATGTTGGGATATCACTTTCCCGTGGTATGTTGGGATATTACTTTCCCGTGAGATGTGGGATATTACTTTCTCGTGTTATGTTGGGATATCACTTTCCCGTGGTATGTGGGATGTAACTTTCCCGTGGTATGTGGGGGATGTAACTTTCCCGTGCTATGTGGGATGTAACTTTCCCGTGCTATGTGGGATGTCACTTTCCCGTGGTATGTTGGGATATCACTTTCCCGTGGTATGTTGGGATATTACTTTCCCGTGAGATGTGGGATATTACTTTCTCGTGTTATGTTGGGATATCACTTTCCCGTGGTATGTGGGATGTTACTTTCCTGTGGTATGTTGGGATATTACATGTACATTCCCGTAGTTTGTGGGATATTTACTTTCCCGTGATATGTGAGGACATATTTTTTACGTGGTATGTGGGGAGGCTAAGGTTTGACGGAAACTACATTCCCGTAATATTCTAAAAATACCACAGAACACCAAATATATACACACTTACAAACAGAAAACAAACAACAAAACCCAACCTCAACAAGCACAACTTAAAAAAATCGTTTTTCGAATACATCTTAAAATTAGGTTCTCCAAATCATTATTTACGAGTAAAATATAATCTGTCGATATTGGGTTGTTGTCATATACGAGTGTTTATAACCACCGGGAATGTCACGCCTGACGTGTAATGGTACTAACTACACAGGCGTGAAGCTGTTTACATCTCACTTATTGGCCATATCAGCTTCCAAACAATCATTTCTTAAATATTATTTTGTTGTCAAACATAAGAGTGTGTAGCTCGATGGCTACATCAAACGACTTTGGTGATCAGATCTGTGTAGCTTCACATTATAGCATTGTCCTTGTTCTCCAAATTCATTGTGTCCTTACAAACAGTATGGAAAATTGTATAAGTCTGTAATCATTTAAATTGACTGGTTAGCAATAATAATAAAAATTGTAGTCTAGAAATTATCCCCTTTTACCTAAAAAAGATTTCACATAAAGGGGAACTTAATGTAAAATTGATGCATGTTTATTTGGATTTCACAGTTGATTCACTAGTTCAGAAGTAGGTTCCAAGTATTGAGATATTATTTGTCATATCGACATACATTTTCATTTGGTGTGACAATGCCCTTCTTCCTCCTCGGCGCTTGAATTGGCGTTAATTTAATATGATCCTTGTATTAATTACAAATTATATATTTTCTAAAATATATATATAACAGACAATCAATCATATATAATAGTGGCTTTTTTTAGCATTAAGTTTTGTGCATGAAACTTCGCGTGACGTCAACTGGTATTTCGTGCCATTCTTGTTAGTGACCTGGCCTCGCCGTTAGTAACGGGATGACAATTTAAATGTTAGTGAAAGCAATTTGTTCCCTTTTTTTCTATAATTGCACAGGAATCGCTTATCATTCCAGAAACCTCCATTTTTCCTATTCGGGTTTATGATGTTTTAATATTTTCCCTCCTCGTTTACAGTTTTTGATCCTATCAATTCCCTTCGAGTTTCGATTTTGTCCTTGTTATTTGACGTTTTAGTCCTTTTCCTGTTCCTCAGATGGGCAGTTGTTGCGAAGATCGTCCCCCGCCTATGCGGACGGCGTATATCATATGGCCGGACAAAAAAGACCGAATCCTTTCGAAATTAGTCGGATAGCCCACAGTGGTCAACCGGGCCTCGGGTCGGCGAGGGGACGAAACGCCATGATGGTGTACTTCGGTAAGTCAGTCTTAGGGTGCTTCTATTTTGTTGTCCACGAACAATGGATGCTAAGAACTACTCTGGCGTTTCTGTTTTAATTAAGAGATATCCAATCTTCTTTAATGGTTTTGTAGCTTTATGTTTTTTCCAACTTACGAACATTTTAGTTTCGTACATGTATTTTGCTATTGTTTGCGTAGAAATATGATAACTTCCTGGTTCTTTATTAAAAATCGTTCATTTGTCCATACTTTAAACTTCTTCAGAAGAACACCTACAGTTATTGCGGCATATAAATGAGTATGACCATTTATAAATTCTACGATCGCCAACAGGTCAACAGGTGGTAGAAGAAGTTCTAGACTCCCAGAGACCGGGATGTCCTCGGGAGTTTGAAAACGTGCCTATTCCTAAAGACCATCCGTATAACCCGGAAGGAAAGGACGACCTAGTCATGCCGTTTCTGAGGACAAGATATGACGCCAGCACTGGTTATTCCCCTAACAACCCCCGGCAACAGGTAACGGTCAAAGGTCACCCTAATAAAGTTACGGATACCGTTCCGGATGATTGTAAAATATAAATAGCCTTGTTTCAATTCTATCTTTTATTATTCATTTACTTATATTCAACCACATGTCTTACATTTTGGTGTCCATTCATTATTTCAACTCCCTCCTTTCAAAGGGTTTATATTTAAATGCAAGCTATATAAAAAATATATAAAAAAAACATGCTACCAGTGCTACAATGATATAAAGGTGTACTACATTGTCGTTCTGTATTACAGCCATATAAAGGTGTACCTCATTGTCGTTCTGTATTACACTGAACAGCTATATATTTAGGTGTACCACATTGTCGTTCTGTATTACAAATATATTTGGGTGTACCACATTGTCGTTCTGTATTACAGCTATGTGAAGGTGTACCACATTGTCGTTCTGTATTACAGCTATGTGAAGGTGTACCTCATTGTCGTTCTGTATTACAGATATATTTGGGTGTACCACATTGTCATTCTGTATTACAGCTATGTGAAGGTTTTCCTCATTGTCGTTCTGTATTACGGCTATGTGAAGGTGTACTACATTGTCGTTCTGTATTACAGT